ATATATCTATGGATTTAATTTATATTGCTGCCCATATATCTGGCATGGTTATTGCCTGAAGGCCATTGTTAATTACAGCCTGAATTTCCTGCATTTTATTTCCCTCTGAACTCTCTGCACAGAATTCCTTCTCAGTTATCACATGCCATAACAACATTATGGTCACAAATGGCTGTCAGATCATCATTTTTGCTAAAATGATATTTGAAACATCAGATGGTCTGTAGTTCTAAATTCCATTGTAAAACCAATTTAATTATCCACCAGAGATGGCTAAACTAACTTCTTCGATCAGAGAAAAAAAATCTATATTTATAGTTGACTGGAAGGCCCTTATAGATATTTTGCATAAAAGAGGGAAAAATGCACTTATGGATCATGGTTTTGATGTTCTAAAAAGTATAGGAAAAAGTGATCATAAAGTAAAAGTCAAAATTGTAAACATAAATTTGCTGCCAAAGAAATTGGAAACTTCTTTTTTCTTTCTCTCTCTTTTTTTTTTTTTTAATTTGATTTATATGCCACCCTTCTCTGGAGACTCAGGGCGGCTTACAATGCGTTAAGCAATAGCCTTCATACTTTTGTATATTTTATACAAAGCCAGCTGATTGCCCCCACAAACTGGGTCCTCAATTTACCCACCTTAGAAAGGATGGAAGGCTGAGTCGACCTTGAGCCTGGTAAGAATTGAACTCGCAGTAATTGCAGGCAGCTGGATGTTAAATGCTGCCTTAGGAGGCATTAGCCTCCTACGCCACTCAGGCTCTTGTCTTCTCTTTCTTCTTCTTTTTCCTTCTTTTATTTTTGTTCATTGCTTTCCCATTAGCTTGGGTTATCTCTTATATTCTTGTAAATTGTTTTTAATAAAAAATAGAAAAAACACACTAAAATGGAAGTTTGGTGCATTTTTCTCAGGGGAAATCTCAGGGAAGGATTAGTATTTCTGCAAGAAAGTATCTTCCTGTTTAATATCTGACAGGAAACCATGACACTTAAAACCAATAGAATAAAGAAACAAGTAAATGTGATGAATGATTAATAAGTCATTAATAAGTGTTTGCTGAGTATATATTTTGATAATTCCTTTCTTTACCTAAGGCAATACTAATCAATTATATTTCAACCTGAGCTTTACTTCCTTTCCTTTCAGTTATGGGAAAAAGAAGAAGGTGGACCAGGAAATTTTTGAAGAAAATTATCTATCTTGATCTTGTGCCAGGCCAATTTGGAGACTCAGATAGTTGCTCAGAACATGTGAGTCCACCAGTCCAACTGTCCATCAACTCAACCTCCCCAGTAGAAGAACATTCCAAGGTGAGAAGCTGAAGGAATTCTTGGTAAGTATTGGTTAGATACTCTCTGCTATCTGTACAGTGATCTGGCTTTAAAACAAGGAGATGGCTTTTGGAAGTAGCAATGGAGGTTTTCATGAATTCCACATTAAATTATGGAACTCCAAAATTGCCTTTCTTTCTCAATAAGATAATATGAATGCCATTCTGCTAATTCTTCTGTAACATCTATTTCTCTTTTCTTCTACAGGGCAACCAAAAGATGAGACGCTCCATGTACATTGGCCTCTGTTGCCTTGGAATTTTGATCACCAATCTTTTTTAGGAGGTGAGCGCCAGAAATGCATGTTGATATGGGAAACAAAGCACATTAAATAAATAAAGCTCTTTCTTCAGAGAGTTTTGTGTGTTCTATACAGCTCAGATAAAATTTTCATGCTGAGGATTTTATGCTGCCCCAAAACATTCTGAAACTGTATTGCTAAGATGCACTAATAAAGTCAATATATTTCAGCAGGGTGATTTCTCAGATTCAACATTTTAATTTAATTTTCCACATGAAGCATAGGAGTAGTAATAGTAATGCTCTCCCACAGACTTTGCAACCTTCCCCAATGACTCCAATATCACACAGTTTTAGTCATTTGGGGTTGTCTGTTGTATGAGATTTTTGCAATGTTTTGAAGTGGTGGGTTTCTACCGGTTCGCCCCGGTTTGGGCAAACCGGTAGTAGAACCAGTGTGAACCGGGGGCAACCCACCACTGGTCTGGACATCATCATGGACACTCTGGGCATGCGCAGAAGTGCCATGTGCGAGTGAAGCAAGTGCATGCACGCAGATGCTCACAGTTCCAAACTGGTAGCAAAGGTAAGTGGAACCCACTACTGACTAGGAGGCCTTTTGGACACTAAAGTCTCCCAAGCCCTTAGAGCAGGGATATCAAATTTGCATCGTCACAGCGCCATCACATGACGTATTGGGACTTTTTCCCCCTTTGCTATACCAGGCATGAGCATGGCCCATGGGCCAGGAGTTTGACAGCCCTGCCCTAGAGTATCTTGACATTGATCTGGAAAATACATCTTGGACCACTTTCAGGGTTGGAAAGGAGGAAGTGGAAGTATTTTGTGTCCCTAAGGCCTTTTGCTCCCTCTTAAAATCCTATCTCCCAAAAGAGAAAAAGTCTTTGCCTTCATAATTGGTGAATTCCATGGACTTCATCAATTCAGTGGATCATCTCCTTCTACCTCTGAAAGAGTGAATGGCTGAGCTGCAGCCTTCAACCATTCCAATCATGACTACTCCCACTGAAGAAAATTCATTCAGAAAAATCTGGAAACCCGTACATTTCAAAGGTAAAGGTTCCCCTCGCACATATGTGCTAGTCGTTCCCAACTCTAGGGGATGGTGCTCATCTCTGTTTCAAAGCCGAAGAGCCAGCACTGTCCGAAGATGTCTCCGTGGTCATGTGGCCAGCATGACTAAATGCCAAAGGTGCACGGAACCCTGTTACCTTCCCACCAAAGGTGGTCCCTATTTTTCTATTTGCATTTTTTATGTGCTTTCGAACTGCTAGGTTGGCAGAAGCTGGGACAAGTAACGGGAGCTCACCCCATTACACGGGGTGTAAATGCACTAGGGATTCGAACCACTGAACTGTCAACCATTCAATCGACAAGCTCAGCATCTTAGCCACTGAACCACCACGTCCCTATTTACTTACTATTTTTATCCTTTTGTCTCTTTGCAGCCTAGGCTGTGTCATGCCCCAGAAACTGCTTGCAGAAACAGGGAAACTGCTATGGATATTTTGATAATAAACTAAGTTTGGATAAAGCTGAGATAAGAATCCTTTTTCACCAGTTCAGGTAAGGTGAAATGTTTCTTGAGAAACCAAAATTGCACTAATGGAGTTGTGCAATGTTTAAAGTCTGCAACAATTCCATTCAGGCCTTAAGGATGTCTGGATGGGGCTCAATGATATCTCTGAATAACACAATAACAGAATAACAGAGTTTGGAAGGGACCTTGGAGGTCTTCTAGTCCAACCACCTGTTCAAGCCAAAACTCTATACCATTTCAGGTAAATGGTTATCCAATCTCTTCTTAAAAATTATAGTATTGGAGCATTCGCAACTTCTGGAGGCAAGTTGTTCCACTGATTAATTGTTCTAACTTTCAGGAAATTTCTCCTTAGTTCTAGGTCACTTCTCTCCTTGATTGGTTCTCATCCATTGCTTCTTGTCCTGCCTTCAGGTGCTTTGGAGAATAGCTTGACTCCCTTTTCTTTGTGGCAAACCCCTCAAATATTGGAACACTGCTGTCATGTCACCCGTAGTCCTTCTTTTCATGAAACTAGACATACCCAATTCTAGCAATCGTTCTGGGTGAGTCTTACTTTTTTTATTATTCCATTTTTTTTCCTGGTCTACATATTGTGTTCTCCACATAGTCATTTTCCACACAGACCTCTCTCATTTTTGGTGAGCTACTTGCTGAGGATAATATATTGCTAGGACCTGAGATTGTTTGTAGATGTTCATAACTGTAGTCAGTGCTGAATTTAGGCATAAGTTAAATAAGCTTCATTTGATTTATGGTGGCTCAGTAGTTAGAATGCAGTACTGCATGCTATTTCAGCTGACTGCCAGCTGACTGCAGTTTGGCAGTTCAATTCTCACCAGACTCAAGGTTGACTTAGCCTAACATCTTTCTGAGGTGGGTAAAATGAGGGCCCAGATTGTTGGGGGCAATATACTGACTCTGTAAGCTGCTTATAGGGGGCTGTAAAGCACTGTGAAGTGGTATATAAATCTAAGTGCTACTGCTGTTGTTATTTGAGGCCTGCATAGTCTGAACAATTTTCAGAATTTGTTTTTTCACTTTTAAAAATGTATAGGGCATTTTATATGTCTCACACACCCCTCTTTCTCCCTCCCTCCCTCTTTCTTTTTTTACAACAGTCTTTAGAAGAAATGGTTATCTTTTCATGAGGAAAAAAAATGGAAAACTGTTATCCAAGTATAATTTACAATAATCTTTTTTCCCCCTGTAAAAGCCTTTTGGAGAAATTGTTAACTTTCCATGAGGGCTAAGTTGAATAATTGTGCTGCAGAGCCATGGTTAAAATGCAGTGTTGCAGGCAATCTCTGTTGCCAGGAATTTGATTCTAACCTGCTCAAAGTTGATTCAGCCTTCCATCCTGTCGAGGTCGGTAAAATGAGGATCCAGATTTTGGGGAGCAATAGGCGGACTTTGTAAACCCACTTAGAGAGGGTTGTTAAGCTCTATGAAGCAGTATATAAGTATATTCTTCTAAGGGTTAGGATTCTTAAAATTAATGCTACATTTATTTTGACCCTTCGTCCATTTGTAATGTTCCATAATCAAAAGTATTAATAACCCTTTTGCTGTTTACTAAAAAAATATTTGTTCTTAAAATTATATTTAAAATTTATTTGTTTAAGGATTGAAGGACATTCACCTTTTGCAGTAAACCCTGTGTTGATGCAATAGCTCAACTGCTGAAAAGCAGTTAACAAACCCTTTGTGAAAATGATTGGAAAAGAAAGTTGTCATTGATATGTATTAGAGTAATTCCTGCTCTTAAAGTTTGCAGCCAATCCTAAAAGCTTTTCAAAAAAAAAAAAAAAAGTCAGACATAGAATTAAAAAGAAATTGTTGAGAAATGAACAGATACCCAGGAGAAGGTCTGGTTCTGACATCTATTGTGTTTCATATAAGTTATAATCACAGAGCTGGAAGGGACCTTAGAGGTCTTCTAGTCCAACCCCCTGCCCAAGGCAGGGGTCCTTATCCCATGCTAGACAAATGGTCGTCCAATCTTTTCTTGAAAACCTCCAAGCTTTAATTGTGTTGTGAATTCATCTCTTTATCAATCAACTCCATGTCTGTCTTTGAATCCTGCATCTCAACCAATGTAGGCAAAAGGAAGTATGATCCACAGGCAAGTTATACAAGTCAAGATGGTGGACATAGCTGTTTGCTCAAAGGAATGCATGAAAAAGAGGTATTGGTGCTTCAATTTCAGTCAAGGCTGCCATCTTGAAGTTTTTGGACCCCCTTCTGCTATGATGCCCCTGGGGACTAACATGTCGTTTCTCCTCTCTCTTCCATTCGGTGCTTTTATTCCTTTCTCCTGAAATATTGGGATGAAACTCTTGGATTTGATGCAGCCAACACAACTGTTTCCACCCCTCCCAACACCACCCAGTGCTGCCATTCCCTGTTCTTGAATGACGGAAATATCCACAGAAACTTTGTATTGTATTTATATGCTATGGAGAGTTTATTCATATTGTATTTCCATCATGAAAAAGTCAGGAGAATAAGATAACGGTGTAGTTGTCTATTCTAAGAGGAAAAGTTAGATAGGAAGGGAGAAGATCTGATCAGAGGCAGTGAAATCAACAGGATGCCAATTAAATTTGCAGGTGTTTTGTAGCTGGTTCTGGTTGCATCCCAGCTGCTTTCATTCAGGTGGATCTACAGCTGGTACTTACAGATGTAAGCATTTTGATTGGTACATATCCCATCGTTCCACAATCTGAAACCTAAAATGTAAAGGATAAGACAGAAGTTAATTCTTAATTCCTCCCACAGTGGTCTGGAAAATATTGTCATTCTTTATATTACATGGAAGTTTTCCACTGGTCCCAATGGAACTACCCACGAAAGGCAAAGCGAATGTTGACCTCCAGAAAATAAAGGGAAAACTGAATACAGTTATTGATATTCCACCCCTTCCCAAAAATTGAATTGTCATTATAAAAATAAATCTCCCTCACTTCATCACAGAAAGAGTTCTAGTATTCATGAAAGAGGAGGGGAGAGGGGTGGGGAGGGTGGAGAGGTGAGGGAGAGGGAAGGGGAGGAGAGGAGATGGGGAGGGTGGAGAGGAGCAGAGGGGAGCAGAGGGGAACTGTGGAACAGTTGTCTAGCTTTTCCCTCATGGAAAGCTAACCATTTCTCCTAAAGCCTTTTATTTAAAGAAAGGAGATATTGAGAGTGATGATATCTTTAGTTTTAATTATGGAAAACTCCATGAAACATATGGTTTCCATTCCTCTGGCTTATGGGATAACTCCAAGTTAAACAAACAAACCCTTGTTTTCCTGAAGGCTTGTGTACAGGGTTTATCAGAGACCATCAGGTAAGAAGCTTTAACTTACTTGACGAAAGTGTCACCTCCACACAGTGTTCATTCTTATTACTGTTGTCTGGCTGTCGTACCATCCAGGCTTTGTAATTGAAGGTAGATTCATCAGCCCATCTCCATCGCCTTCTTTGTTGCTGAAAGACAGACCACAATCACATGTTAAGAAGGTAAGTAACCTCTTGGGATCATAAACTACACAAGTTGGCTGGAAGAGTTGAGTGGCGGGCAACTTTTAGATACTGACTATGATGAAGTTCAAACACTCTCCCCAAGCTGTCAAGTGACAATTTTTGTAGCACCAATGAACCAAAGTAAAAATAGCAATCATGCATAATTGATGACCGTGAGAGTGGTAGAAATTTTATATATGGTTACATATAACATTCAGCTCTATGAAATTTTGGACTCCAGAACTGCATTTTATTAAATATTTTGAGCTATTGCAATCACTCATCTCCCACTATCTATATTTACATTAAAAGTAGAAGTGGAAGGAAGGCCGCTTGCAACAAAGTTTTGTTATTATACTGTTAGGATTAAGTAGTCCCTCCTTCAAAAAAGGGGAAGAGTGAAATACCTAGCTCTGCTATTTGGTCATAATTTAGAAGTCTTCTTGTCTTGATATCACTTCCATCAGTGCAGAATGTAGACTAAGTGAGGCCCTAAGCTAAAGAAAGCTTAAAGAGATACACAAACACATCCCTATACTTTTAAGGAATGTAAAGTGAAAAATGCAAATTATTTTCAAATGAAAGCATATGCTGATTATATATTTTCCTTTTGGCTGGCTTGATCACTCTCATAAATTATAATAGATATAAATAAGAAAAAAATATGAATAAGAGAAAAAAGATAAATCAATCAAACAATCAATCAATCAATCAATCAATCTCTTCATCCCAAATCCCACCATATATCTATGAGGAAATAATAAAGCTTCATAATTCAATCTTAATGAGTTGGTATTTTTCCTTCTGTTTTTAAACAGAAGAAATAATTATTATTATTCTTATTAATAAATAAAATAAATAAAAATTATTATTTAAACAATGGTTATGCAAGAATTTAATACCTACAGTACATTTAAAGTGCCCCATAAATTTCACTGAAAGCAAAAAAGAACAAATTCTGAAAATTGATCAGATTGCGCAAGCCTCAAATGTAGCTTAATTGGCTTGGGCCTAAATCCAGCACTGACTGGAGTTATGAGCATCAACAAACAACTTCAGTTTTCTAGCAATACAGTAACCACAGCAAGCAATTCACCAAAACTAACAGAAGTGGATGTGTAAAATTACTGCGTAAAGAATGCAATAAAAAGAAAGAAATGACAAACATCAGACTTACCCCAGAGATATCACGGAGTCCCATCCAGACATTGCTACTTGATCGCTGTTTATCTTTGATGTATACAGACACAAGTGCAGACTCTTGGATGCTGAGGATAGAGGTGAGATGACATCCAGGACCAAAGCTCTGGCACTCCAACTAAAAACAGAAGCAGGACAAGAAGATGGTTCATGAGTGGGATTGTTGCAGACTTTAAATATTCCACATCTCCAGTTGTATAATTTTGGTTTCTCAAGAAACCTTGCACCACACCCGGATTGGTGAAAAATAGTTCTTACCTCAGCAACATCCCAACTTAGTTTCTCATCAAAATACCCATAGCAGTTCCCTTCTTTCTGTAGCCAGCCTCTGGGACATGATGCAGCCTTGGCTGCATGGAGATAAAAGGAGGGGAAAATATAAGTAAATGGTATTATTTCCAGATATTCCTGAATGGGGAGTGATGGCTTAGTTGTTAAAGGTGCTGAGCTTATCAGCTGGAAAGCTGAAAGCCCAGGTTTAAGACTTGAGCACCGCAAAACAGGATGAGCTCCCGTTCCTGCTCCAGCTCTTGCCCACCTAGTGGTTTGAAAGCATGAAAATGCAAGTAGATTAATAGGTACCATTTAGGTAGCATGGACAATATCTTCGGATAACGCTGCCTCCCTCTGTGAAGAAACAGAGATGAAAACCATGCCCAAGTCAGATAAACTGGACAGGGGAAATCTTTCCTCTTTTTTATTCCTGAATGGAATCTCTTCAGTTGGGAGTAGCCATGATTGGAAGGGTTGAGGGCTGCAGCTCAGCATCTCAACCCTTCAAGAATTGAAGGAGACCATCTGCTAAATTGTCCATGGGCTTCACCAATTATGAAGGCAAAGGCTTTTTCTGTTTTGGGAGATAGGATTTTAAGGGGGAGAAAAAGACCCTAGGGACTCAAAATATTTCCACTTCCTCCTTTCCAAGCCTGAAAGTGGTCCAGGATCTATTTTCCAGACCAATGTCAAGATACTTTAGGGACTTGGGAGAACTTTAGTGTCCAAAAGCCCTTCTAGTCCTATGCTCTGCCTTTAACATTGCAAAAATCTCAATCGGACAACCCTACATGATTAAAACTGTGCCGTATTGGAGTCACTAGAAAAGATGGCAATGTCTGAAGGAGATAATTATTATTACTATTCTTACCCTTAACATGGAAATTAAATTAAAATGTGGAACCTGACAAATCATCCTGCTGAATTATATTCATTTTATTAGTGCATCTCAGCAGTACAGTTTCAGAAGACTGGGAGCAGCATAGAATCCCATCTGACCTGTATAGGACACATAAAAATGTCTGAAGGCAGAGCTTATTTATCCAAGTTGTTTAATTCGCTATATTTCCCATATCATGATTAAATTGGGGGGCTCACCTCCCAAAAAAAGGATTCATTTTATTAGTGCATTTCAGCAGTATAATTTAAGAATGCTGGAAGCAGCATAGAATCCTATCTGTATAGGATACATGGAAGCATCTAAAGAGCTTACTTATCTAAATTGTTTAATCTGCTATTTTTTTTCCATATGATTAATTTGTGGGGCTCACCTCCCAAAAAAGGATTGATGATCAAGATTCCAAGGCAACAAAGGCCGATGTACATGGCAAGTCCCATCTTCTGGTTGCCCTTTAGGAGAAAAGAGAAGTAGATGTTACAGAAGAATTAATAGAATGGCATTCATATTAGCTTGCTGAGAAAGAAAGCAAATTTTCAATTTCCATAATTTAATTTTGATCTTTTCTGTTATGGTTTCTAACATACAACTCATGAAAAGCTCTATTGGTATTTCAAAAAGCCATTGCAAAGCTGGATGCAGCTTTGGCAGAGTGTCTAACCAACACTTACCAAGGATGCCTTCAGCCTCTCACCTTGCAAAGTTCTTCAACGTGGACGGTTGGACTAATGGATTTCCACTTTCTGAGCAACCATTAAATAGTCTCCAGATAGGCCTGGCCCAACATCAAAATGTACAACTTTCTTCAGGGATTTCCTGGTCCACCCTCTTCATTTTCCCATAACTGATAGGAAAGCAAGTAAAGCTCAGTTCCAAAGAAAATTGGTTAATATTTCATTAGGTAAAGAAAGAAATTATCAAAAATCAACCCATTGATTCTACACCCTAGTGGGAAGCAAACATCATGCTTTATTGATCATTTATCATATTTACTTGATTTCTTTATTCTATTAGTGTTAAGCGTCATCATTTCTAGTCTATATTATGTCAAACATTCTAGTCTATGTTATGTCAAATATTAACACAGTTGAGAAAGATAACTTTTTGCAGAAACACTAGTCCTTCCCTCAGATTTATTTGCCCTGAGAAAAACATACTAAACTTCCTTTTTTTGTTTTTGTTTTGTAAAGTTTATTAAAAGTTTTGCAAGGAACATAAAAGCTAACGCAAGCTAATGAAGAGCAAAAGAAGCAAAGATAAAAGAAGGAAGAAAAGATAAAGAGTGCAGAAAGACTGAACAAAATGAATAGAGGAAAGAAATTTCTTCTGCAGGAAATATTATATTTGCAATCTGGACTCTTACTTTATGATTACAGAAAAGGAGCTCTCTTTTTTCTGCAGTCTATTTTTTTCTAAGCATGAAAACCACAAATGTATTTTTTCCTCTTCCATGCAACCAATCTATAAGGGGTTTCTAGTCCATAAATATAGATATTTTTTCTCTAATCAAAGAAGTTAGCTTAGCCATGTCTGCAAGTTCCAACATCTTCACCTGTCACTCCCCCATTATGGGTAGCACCAAACCTATTCCACATTTCAGCATATAATAATCTCACTCTACCTTGCTTCCATTTTTGTCAGGTACTTGAGTTTACACAATGCTCATATCAATCTAACTGCTTATTACATCAGTTAAATGACACAGTTTTAACTGCCTGGATTAGTCCTTCTCTTGGTGAAGGTTATTTGGCTTCCTAATGCAATGACCAATATTGACAGTGGCTGGACAATGTATATTTGGGAAGTGGGTTCATCTAACCACTTTTTGAAATTCTACAGTGGATTGTTGTCTCTTTTTGTCACTTTCTTATGTGTGTAACATCTATTCAGTACCATTCTTTCTTCAATCCTTGATTAAAAGTTTGTATCAAAATAGCTCAATTTATGACCACTATTGAGCCCAAAATTTATGTTGTTAAGTGAGAAATTTGTTAAGTGAGTTTGCTCCATATTACGACTTTTCTCCTTGCATTTGTTAAATGAATCACTGCAGTTCTTAAATTAGTAGCATGTTAAGTGAATCTGATTTCCCCATTAATTCATTGTTAAGTGAATCTAGTTTCCCCATCTTTGCTTGGCAGACGGTCACAAAAGGGGATCATATGACTCTGGGACATTGCAACTGTCATAAATGTGAGCCAGTTGTCAAGAAGAACTGGCTCTTCTCCCAGGCCCAGGATTGAGTCTTTGCCAGCTGTTCTTGCAGATTTTCCTGTTCTTTATTCCTTAGTTTCAGGGCCCATCACTTAAAACATGCAACCCAAGAATAAGGGGACAGAACGCATGCAGTGATTTCAAAATACACATTTTATCATTTTGTCATCCCTGCTATTCAAGGCCTTAAAGATTGGTTGTAAGTTAAATCAAATTTAATTATACTTCCTTTTCTTTTTCTTATTACATACCTTAATTTCTTTCTCATAAAATTTTAAGCCTTTTCCAAACTTTGCATAACATTCCTTAGAATCAGCGGTGGGCTTCAGATCTTTTAGCAATGGGTTCACTGCCCCGTTGCTGGGTGAGCGTGGCCACCTGCACCATGGTGTGTGGGGGGGGGTTCAACCTCCCCAGGCTCCAGAGGCTTTCTTCGAGCCTCCGGGAGGGCAAAAACAGCTTTCTCCGGGGTCCAGAGGCCCTCCAGGGGCTGGAACCAGGCCTGTTTCCAGACTTCTGGAACCTCTGGTAGACCTGGTTTTTGCCCTCCCAGACTCTCCACATGGCCCTTGCATTTACCTGGAATGATAAACGGGCCATGTGGAGACTCCTGGGATGGGAGGGGCAGGGTGGGAGGGGCAGGAGGGGTGAGGCCAGTTGAGGTGGCATTTTGGGGTTTGCCGAACCCTGGTGATCCTTGGCTAGAGGATTGCCCAAATCCTGCCATACCCCCAGGAGCCCACCCCAGCTTAGAATGGAATAAGTGGATGCATAGCTCTCCTGGCACTTGCTATAGGTTCTCACACTGAATTATTCTTATTCCATTGATTTATGTTGGTCCTATAACAGAAGCCTATTTACAGTGCAAATATTGGTTTTTTTAGGTTCCCCTTATTAAAATCAATCTGATTCTTAAAACTATAGCAGAGTGATTCCCCCAGATTTCTCAGTTCAGGGTGCCCTTGGTATCTCCACAATTTAGATCAGGGGTCCCTAACCAGCAGACCATTGTCCACTAGTGGACAATGAGGGGTTTGCAACTGGGACATGGAACAGCTGGCAAGCACGTGCACACATGCACACATCCTCACTTGCACAAGCAGTGTGCAAACATGTGCTTGTGCATTCCATTTCTATAAGTAGTAGGCGACATGCACGCTGCTCCCACAAATGGACCAGTGCACAAGCTTGCTGGCCGCTTACGTGAACCATCCGTTCCGGGGGGGCAGTCCTCAAATCCAGAAAAGTTGGGGAACTTTGATTCAGATCAAAACTGTTATGCTCTGAGTTGCAGATATCTATCACAAGATATCACACCTATACAAGATCACATCTTTTCCCTTGACAATTTTAAATATTTTAGACATTTCATGACACCCCTGTAAATTTCCTATGGCACCCGGGAATATACAATTCATATCCCCCCCCCTTTTTTTTTGACCTGAGAAAAGTTGTTTTCTTTTAATAATAAAGAGAGGAGAGATACTTTACTTCTTTTTTCACTATTATTTTCAAACTATGCAATTATCTTTATTCGCTATCATGTTAAGTATATAGGCATAGAAGGTGTACATTTTCAAGAAACATTCACGCCTTAAAGCAGACTTCTGATTTCCAAAGAAACGCTTGACTCATTCATGGGTCAAAATCAGGGAGTTGACTAGAATTAAAAGAATGGGTGAAGAACTTTTGAAGAACTTCAAAAATGCATAGAAAGTCAAAGTTATGTATGTCCATTGGTATCCAGTTGGTATCTATCACCCAAACTCAGTAGAGAAGATTTCACAGAGGAAACAGAGGACATGGGATAAATTTTACGATTGGTTAGAAAGGAAATATGAATAAGGGTATAGAGATAAAACAGATAGAGAAAAGATGGGAGAAAATAATCAGAAAAATAAAAACCCAGATGATGCCTAGGTAAAAGGAGAAAGGGGAGGGGGGGTAAAAGGGAAAAAGTGAGATTATTATAAAAATGTGCACAAATGATTGCAGGGGTCTCCAACCTTGGCAACTTTAAGACTTGTGGACTTCAACTCCCAGTAAAGCTGGCTGAGGAATTCTGGGAGTTGAAGTCCACAAGTCTTAAAGTTGCCAAGGTTGGAGACCCCTGTTCTATTGGGTAAGTTTTTTTCCCCTTTGGGATATATATATATTTCATTTATGGCTTCTTGGGTATTATTTTCTTTCCCATCCACCTTTTAGGTTCTTTCCACACTTGTTAATCTTTCCCAGCATCTCCTCACTGAAATCATAAGTAAAGAGAAATTACTGTTTTTGTACATGATGTGGCTAATTCACAAGTCATACTCAATGAAGTTTTATTCCAATATTTATTCCTTAAAAATTTACCAATGAAATAGAATGCATATATGGTAATGGAAGCCTGGATGATTTATTAATGAGATTGTTTATTGGTTTACTTTATATTTTCCATTCTTTTAACCACCCATCTCTTTCAGAGAAGGGCTATGAGTTTATAAATAGTTTTATCTCCAGCTCAATTATCTAGAATTTCCCACTACTGGCCAGGAGCATTCACACAAAAATAATAATAATCATGCAAACAAAGTCTTGCTCTTTTTTAAATATGTATCACACACATAATTTTACATGTATCACACATATAATTGTGCAGTCAAAGCCTTGCTCTTTTTTTTTTTACAAGTATCACACACATGTTGCACATAGAAAGAGACAGAGCTTTGATCTCATCCTTGCAGCCATTATCTTATCTTTGTTAACACCGTTTCATGGATACTTCTATTACCAGATGAAGGAGAATGTCCAAGTATTCTTGACAGAACATGAGAGTTGGAAGGAAAGCAGCCAAGCTATGTTTTCCCCATTCTCCATTCCCATTCCCCATCTCCATTCCCCCTCTGTTCAGCCCCTCTCTATACCATCATGTCCTTATCACCTGATCCCATCTGGGATCAGTTCCAAGTGAGGAGAAAGACACTGGAAACATGGAGGCTGCTTGGAGGGATGGTTTAATGGTGAACAGGACCATATGGGTTTGAAGTCTGAGGTAGCTGATCATATGGAGTGGAGAGTGAGTGTTATGTATACCCTCTCTTGGGCTTTGACCTTGAGCTTCCTGTTCCTGTAGCAAGGGCATGTATCCTATTGGTTGCAGACCCCCATGTGGACACATGTTTGTCTGAATTAAGGTTGGTTGGGCTGATGTAATATCCCCAGGTGCCATGAGGTGAATTCTGTTGCTAGATGGGTAGAGGGCTAATCCTATTATGTCCTAAGAGTCATGTCTTAATTCCATCAGCCTAAAGCTGAGGTCATTTATTTTGTAGATGGCTGGCCCAGTCTTTTGTCTTGTAGATAAGCCGGCACCAAAATATCTGCTGGGGGCAGGGAGCTGGGGCTGAGTTTCTGTTTCCTTTAAAATTTTTATTTCTCTTTTAGGAGAAATATTCTGCGTTTTTAATATTTCCTAGAATATTTCATTCTTCTAGGAGAGGAGTGGGTGCTAACT